AAAAAAAATCCTTAAAACAATTTCAATTTTCTAAAAACGAAAAAAATATTCAGAACAAAAACTTATTCGGGAAAATGTCTGAAAAAAATCATTTCTAAAAACAAAAGAAAAACATTTTAGGGGGAGGGAAACAATTTTGAAAAAAAATTCTGAAAAACAGAAGAAATACGCGGGGGGGGGACGAGGGATGCTTTGTGACTGCAATGTGATGTGGTTTGTTACTAGTGGAGCGAATGGCCGAGATGGGAAGGGGCGTGTTGGTGAAAAATAAAGTGCGTGACCCGAAGGACATCAGGTAAAGCGCATTCGTTAAGTCGCAATCTCGCGACGGAGTGGAAATGATGTTGTAAAATGCGGGCGGCCCACTTCAGGCTGGGCTTCCACGTGCCTCCGTTTTGCTCCGTGCCGCACCTGCACCTGCACGCCCTGGCGCCGGCCAGCAAGATGAGCGAACTAACGCAGCGGAAATACGGCTCGGTGTCCCACTGGTTCATCACGGTGAGCGAGCGAGCGCCGCAGTTCGGGGACCGAGCGAACGGGGAGGGGGGGCGCTCTCTCGCCACTACACACGGCGCCTCTCTCGTCTTTGCAGGTCGACGACGCGCTGACTCGGCTCAGGACGCGAGGCAGAATCCGCTGACGTTCTGTCCCCTCTGGTGTCATTGAAATGGAAATGCACACGTCGCGCTGAGCTCCATTCGGGGGACGATTTCTGGAAAAGACAAGTTCGCAAAGTCATTTGAACGGCACGACTGTTATATAAATGTGTGCTCAATGGATGTTGGTTTGTTTTTTTTTTTAGATGTTATATAGCAGGTGGCAGCCCACAGCTGCACTTTTGGGGAATCCATCGGCTGTAAATGTAAGCTTATATTATTAATGATCATTTTATGTTTGAGCATCATATTATTTCATGTTAAGAATACCTAAATTCTGTTGTTGAATAATTGCTTAGACATGTTTTTATGTTGAGCGGTTCTGATTGGCTGTTGAAGTAAGAGAAGCAGGAAGTGACTTTAGTGACGAGAGTTGTGTTCTCGAACGTACTGCGGTGCAGACGTCCCCCCCCTTTTAATAAAACTGCATTTAAAGGACTCCATCTCTCCTTTTGCCGTTCGTAAAGTCGAGCTATCCACTCAAAACAACGAAGCCCCCAACTTACATAAACGACAGCCACCCTGCTGTTGCCTTCGCGGCATCTCGGGACCGTAGGAAATGACACAACTCGCCCGCCCCAATCACGGTCGCTACAGTATGCGAGTTCCGAACGCATTAAGCGGCGTTACAAAGAAAACGGGCGCCGCCGCGTTAGTCACGAGACCTCGGCGTGACGTCATCAGCACGCAAAAGCGTAAGGGTGCTCTGATGTCCCTGATGACAAACGCATCTTGGGGCTTTGCAAAGAATGACAGCACGTCGGTCATTTGGGGTGCATGGAGCGGAGGAGGCGGACGCCGCATCTACAATACGCCAGCCGACAGGAGCATCTTCTCACTCAGATCAGCGGCGAGCAGACTCCCAAAATGCCCAGCAAACAGAAGCTGAGGAAACGCCGAAACGTACAGAAACACCGAACGCCCTACCAGAGGTCCGAGCGACCGCCGACACCCAAGCGCGATGAAAAGGAGGAGCGGGAAGTGGAACCCGGGCAGGTGGCGACGGTCCAGAAGATGGGCTGTCTCACGGCGTCCCTTCAGCAGGTCAAAAGTGACGCCGAACACCAGAAGGACGCGGAGCGTGCAGAAAACTCCGCGCTCCAGAAGGCCACGGCGGACCACGCGGAAGCGACCGCACCCCGGGAGACCCGAGCGCAAGATCTTGACACGGCCGCAACTTCCCTAGTGGACGAGACCATCGCGGCGCTCCTCAAGGCTCGGACCGGAGGGAACGCCGCCGCGCCGCCGGGAGACGGACCCGCGGAGGCACCCCGAACTGCAGCGAGGCAGGTGGAGGAAGCGAGCGACGTGCAAAAGGAAGGCCGGGAACGCGAGACGCTCGGATCAAATGAGTCAACCGAATTACTCCAGGAAGACCAACCGGCGCTCGCCGTTCATGATAGTACAGCTCGACGGACGGATGACGGCTCCGCCGCCGCCGCCGTGCCGCAGGAGCCGGAAAGGGCTGCGCTGCCTCGGGAGCCCGAGAAGAATCTGGGCTCTCCCGGGGACGCCGCCGGACCCGAAGGGGCCCCTGCACCTGCACCTCATGAGCTTGAAACAAACGTCGCATCTGCTACGGCCGAGACCTCCGAAGCACCTCAGGAGTGGGAAAGTGCTCCGTTACCCGGGCAACCAGACCCACGCGTCCAAGAGCGCGCCGATGCGGACGAGACGGACACTGCACCTCCGGAGCAGGAAAGCGCTCCCTCACCCAAGGAGTTGGAGACAAATGGCGTCAACCTCGAAGGCGACACCGCTCTCGCACCCGAAGACGACGAGACGCCGACATCGCCCCAAGGAGAGGATCCGAACCTCGATCCTCCGGAGGGAGATGCGTGGGGAACTCCTGCACCTGACGACGACGACACGTCCAACGAAGCGACCGGCAAACTCGACGCTCGGGACGCGCGCGCGATCGCAGAGGCCGTGGTCGTCGATGACGACGACACGAGCGCGGCCCCGCCGGCGCGAGAACCGACCTCGGCAAGCGATCGAGCGCGCATGCACAAGGACGCCAGGCTGATGGGATCGGAGGAGGACCTGGCGAGCGTGGGACTGACTTCCTTCAACATGAAACAGCTCATGCTGAGGGCGTGGCTTCATCTCGGAAAGATGAGACTGCTGCAACAGGTCAGAACGATGACACTCGAAGATACGAGCCTGTCTCCTCTGGAGGAGGGGACGCCCCAAGAACCGAGGGCGGACTGCGCGGCTCCGGCGCCGCGGGAGGAGGGCGCGAATGCCGAAGAAACGACGTCGCTCCCTTGTGACATCGGGAGCGACGTCGCACCTCGAGGGGACACGAGCGCTGACAAAGATGGAGCGCTTGGGGCGGACACGACGCCAGCGGCGCCCCAAGAAGACGAGACGGCCGCAACCTTAGGGCGGCGCAATACTGACCTGGAGACCGAAACGATGGAGGAGGAGGCGGCCAATGCTTCTCCCGAGGATGCGGATGACGGCGTTGTCGCGTCGGCGCAGGAGGAAACGTCCTCAGCGCCTCAGGAAGCGGAAGGAGCCGGGTGGGCGGGGGAGGGCGAGGTAGCGAGCACGCCTGCGCATCCACAACATCAAAGCGATGAAACGCTCCACAGTGGCGACGATGATGCCGTCACCGCGGCTCCGTCGCCTCCGGGGACGGACACAATGGTGGGAACGCCAGAAGAGGACATGGCCGCACTTCAGGCGCACCGGATCGCCAAAGCCCTTCTGGACAATGCCGCAGCCGCCGCACTGGAGTTTGAGATGGATGGAGCGCCTCGTGGCCAAGAGGCGAGTGCCGCACGTCAGGAGGAAGAGAACCCGCTCGCACTTGCGATGCCCATTCGGGTTGATGCGGAGGCCGGGGAGGACGCGAGCGCTTCAGCGCAAGACAATCGCACGCTGGCACTTTGTCTGGGGGAAGAGGCAACTTCACAATCTCAGGAGGCGGAGACCAATGGGGTCGTCCGGGGTTGCGAAGTACCTCTGGAACCCAAAGACGACGACGACGACGCCGCCGCCCGTGCCGGCCCCTTGGAGAGCGCCGCGGCACCTCCGGAGGACGAGACCGCCTTCGAATCTCAGGAGGTTCAAAGTGTGGTTCTTCGGGAGGACGAGACGCCTCTCGATTCTCAGATGGTCCAGACAAATGCGCAGGCAGAGGTACGCTCAGAACCACCGCGGCAGGAGCAGGAGGAGGACAGGAGCACGGCTCTCCCGAAGGATGACGCGGCCGCTGGACTTCAGGAGATGGCTGTGACCCAAACTCCCCCGGAGGATGATGCAAACGCTGCACCCCAGGAGGAGAACCCAACCGCAGCTGTCCCGGACGCCCACGCAACCGTTCCGCTGCAGGGGCGGGACACCGAAGCGCCGCCCACAAAAGATGAGGCCGCCGCTGCGCTGCGGGAGAGGGAAACAGAAATCCAATCTCAAAAGCCGCCGACGACGGATGAGACGGAGGAGGAGCACGCCAACACCCCCTGGCCCGGCGAGACCGCCGGCGGCCCCGTGCGGGACAAGATCGCTACCTTGGCCGAGGAGCCGACGACGACGCCCGTTCCTCAAGACGCCGAGTCGATTGCGGCTCCTCCGGAAGGCGAAGACGATCACGTTTCGCAGCAGGCGGAGGGAGTGTCGACGGTCGATCGGGTGGAGGATGCAACTTCAGAGTCCCAGGAGCGGGACGAGGCGCCTGTTCCACATCAGATGGATGAGACGTCTGCAGCTCATCGGGAGGAGGACACGCCTGCAAAAACTCACGGCGACGGCACGGCGCCGGCTCCTTCTGAGGAAGGCGAGAGCCGAGCGCAGCGGGGGGACGCGAGCGATTCATCTCCGGAGATGAGCGCTGCCGCACCTCAGGAATATGAGACGCGGCAGCAGGACATGGGCGTCGCCGCGTCCGAAGAGAACGCGGCAACGCCGGCGAGCAATCGGGCCTCAGAACCTCAGCAAGCGGAGACCGAGGCCCGAGCGGATGAGCTGAGTCCACCGCCCGGCGAGGAAATCCGTTCGGCCTCAGCGACGTCTCCCGCGGACGGCTCCCCGACTGCGGCGCCGCAGACCACCGACAGAGCGAGAGAGCACGAAAGAAATGCAGCAGCCGGGCCGGTGAAGAAGGTCAAGTTCGATCTGGGCCCTGACGCAAAGGATCCACCTGGCGAGTCGACTCGCTCGGAGGATGATCCGCGTACGGCGCGGTGGGCGGAGGGAATGGCGGCGGCACTTCCAACGGATGAAGAGAGCGATGAACCGCGGGGACGCCAAACCGCGACATCGGCACTCGGCGAACCCCCGCAGGAGGGGAGCGCTTTTGTTCCCCACGAAGACGAGACCCCGAAACCGGCGTTACCGGACGAGATCGCTCCCCAGGAGGATGACCCCGGCGCATTGGCCCCGCGGACCGCCGCGGTCGACGAGCCTCCGGCGGGAAGGACCCCGGCTGCGCCTCGGCAAGATGAGACCCCGAAGTCAGCTCCGCGGGATGAGAGCGGCGTTCAAGCTCGAGTGGCGACCGGCCCGGCTGAACCCCGGGAAGACAAAACGCCGACAGCCGCGCTGCGGGACGGGACCGCGATTGAACGCCGGGAGGATGAGGAAGACGAGACTTCTCCCTCCGCTTTGCGGGATCGGAGAACTGGCGAACCTCATCGGGACGACGAGACCGCCGCTACGCGCCAGACCGGCACGTCGACGCCAGCTTTTCAAGAGGAGACAAACCTTCAGCCTCGGGAGTGCCAGATCCGTGCCGCGCCCCAACTGGACGACACGGCGACATTGGCGTCGCGGGACGGAACCGCCGACGGACCCCAGGAGGACGCCGTTTCCGCGTTTGACCTGCGGGATGAGACAAACGTCGATCGTCGGGAGGCTGAGACGGCGGGACGACACGAAGACGAGCCCGCTTCTGACCAGACCAATGCCGACCCCCACACGGACGAGAACACCGGGAGCATCGCCGCGCCGCGGGAAGAGAAGAGCGCCTCATTGGCTCTGCGGGAGGAGACTCTCGTCGAAGCCCGCGAGGACGACGACGCGGCCGCGCCGTCACTCTTGCGGGATGAGGCCAATGTGAAAGCGCAGGAACAGGCGCTCGCCGCTGCCTTAGAGGAAAATGAGAGCGCTTGGTCAACGTCGCGGGAAGAGCCGGTTGTGGAACCCCGGGATGACGAGACCGCCGCCGCCGCATCGGAGGACTGCGGGGGCTCCGCGGCGGCTTTGCAAAAGGAGCCCGACGTCGCACCTGAAGTGGCGACGACCGTGGCTCCGCCTCAGGAAACGGAGCCCTCCAAACCGGCCGTGCGGGATGAGATCGCTGTTGCGCCTCGGGAAGGGGAGGCTGCTACCTCGGCTTTGCGGGATGACGCAATTGTTGAATCCCCGGAGGAGGCGGCGGAGAGCACGGCCGCGCCTGAGGAAGTGGAGACCGCCGCATCAGCTGAGCCTCACGAGGATGGACAGGAAGAGGAACAGGAAGAGGCAGAGGCGACCTCAGCAGCCGAGGAGTCCCGCTCCCTGCTGAATTAAATGGAAAAAGGGAGCAATTGCGACAAGGCAACGTGGAGCTCGCTCGGCCGAGGCCGGCGCTGCTGTTGCCCCGGCGCCCTTGAGTGACGCAAAACATCAACAAATGTCAATTAAAAGAAAAAAAAAAAAAGCATCAAATATTCACGCCGTCTTTTCAGTGGTGTCATTTCAGGCGTGCGGAAGGGCTTCTTGACGCCCGAGACACGCCCACATGAGAGTCGCAATCAAAAATGCAAAACGATCCGAGCGTACGGGTCAAGCAGGGGCGCATTTGCTGCGACAACCGCGATTCTTCGGACCTGATGTCGGAAGCGCTGAATATTTTCCTTCCTTCGGGCATTATTTCATCAGTCGCAACCGAGTTGATGTCCGAGATGTTTTTCGGTCGGGACTGCCAATTTTGCTGGTCGTCTTGGAGCGACCTTGAGCTTTCTTTTTGTTTTTTTTTTCTCCCGGGCCCCACTGGTGGTATTGGCGCGCAGCGGGCAGGCCCCGGGCCGGCTGTTGCGCGACAGCGAGGCAAAGCGCAGCAGGTTGTCATCAGACCGCTAGCATGCTTGTGCAAGATGGGAGACGGGCGGCGTAATTAGCGAGGGAATGAGGCCGGCGGCAAGCCAAGAGGCCCTCTGGCAGGAGGGGCCGGCCCCACCCCCACCCGCAGGGCCTCGGGGGACCTGGAGACGCGTGGCTCATCTGCAGGCGGCTAGCGACCTGTTGGACGGCCATTTGGAAGCCCCCCAAAGATGGTGTTGTGTGGCAAACCTACTCCAAGAACGTGGACGCGCTCATCCTCCAGATTTTTGATGTTCTTCAAGAGGAGATTGCAGCTCGCTTTCACCAAAAACACACGTTTCGGTCTAAAAAGTGGAAAGATAAAACAAGCTTTGGGTGAAAGACAGCTACAGAACTATCACCTGAACATTTAGGAGGAACTATTTGGTTCCGTCTTGTGTCGTTGAGTCTTTGTGTGGGTGTGCGCCGCTTGCCTGCTTCCAACTGCCTTTGCCATTGATGAGTAGAGCCGTGAAATAGATCCAGCTGGAGATGCGCGGCCCGCCGCTCGAGCCTCTTGGGAAATCAGCCGCACCGTGTCTTGTCTGTTCACTTCTTTTGAGAACCATCAAGAATTTGCCGTCAAACGAGCGCGCGCCTTTCGTGGGGCCCGAGAGCAGCACGGATGAATGCATCATCCACAAAATAACAATTGGGCCCCGCGACGGTGCGTCGTCGCTGTTCCGGCGGCACACGAGTGAAACAACTTTCGCCAATTTTGAGCGGGTGGGGGACCTTAAAGGTCCCGGGCAAGGCGAGTCAACTCCAATTTCTCGCCAGCATGCAGCGGAACAAGGACAAGGCTCCTGGCAGGAGGCCGGGCCGGGCCTCGGCGGCCCAAGTGAGTCCGGGGAGGACAATTAAGGGGGAGCGTCGGGGTCTACCTTGCGGGGCGTCCCCTCAACCATGGCTGGAAACAGTGCGGGGGCATTGTCTCAACTAATTACGCTGGAAAGGAGGGGGGGGGCTTTTTGTGCGTCGCCCCCGCCGTGCCTGTCAAGAGTCCCTTCTCCTGCTTGCTGGCTGTCCACCGTGCACGCACGAGAGTGTGCTAATGACACTCAAAATGGGTCCGAGTAATGATGTCACTTGTGATTACGCCCGAGGGCTCCAATGATTTTTCTGTTTTGTGGAGAAACTTTTTTTGGGGGGGGGGCCCCCCCCCGCGCGCCCCTCTCTGCCATGAAAGCCTTCACCTCATTACGCCAATAACCCATCTGCGCATGCAACAGGGGCGAAGGGGCGACCAAAAAACGGAAAGCGGAGAAAGGCAAGAGCATGAAGTGTCCTAATGAATCACCAGCGGCACATCGGGCCAAGCTTTTGTGTCCGCGCCCCTAATGGGCTGCTTTCATCAACGGCTGTTTGCTGACCCGCCGCCGACGCTGGGAAATGGCAATTAGCTCGATTAGGGGGAAAAAAATAAATAAAAAACTGCAGGCGCAATGCTTCCCAAAAGCGACCTGAAAATATTGTGGAGGGAGCGGGCCGAAAGCTCGAAATCGACCGCAATTCTCAATGTCATTTCTCCGTTGAAATAAGTTAACCGAAGCTAATCAGAGTGTGCGTTGGTGTTCGAGACTGCGGTCGTTTTACAAAAGTCTATTCATTCGGGGCGAAATGACGCAAAACGACCGTACTTGTGCAGCATTTCGAACTACCTTTTCACCAACACGAACACGACGAGGTTGACCGCCATTGCCACCTGCCGCCAATCGGGGCGGATTGGCCCAGAGCACCTGTTCGTCGACGACGCGCGCGCAGCCAAAACGCCTTTCAAAGTAAGACTTCCGCTCTTTCGCTCCGCGCACTTTGGAGAATGGTGAAAGTCGGTTTTCATTTTCTTTATTCCAAGCAACTCTTGGCAGGCCGAGAAGAGCCGGCCCGCGGCCCAACACGCATCCTCCCAAACTTTGAGAGCACCCTCGCTTTTATTTTCTTGATTCCCAGCAATTCTTCCCGGGTCAGCAGGAGCCAGGCCCAAGGGCCAAGTTGGGCCCGCGGGCCGTCAAATGCCCGGGTGTGCAGTAGACCGTTTGCTGTTGTCTGTTGTCCATCCACCCCGGTGTGTCCTCAAAATCCCCGAAAGTGGGACGCGCACGTTACATCACGTGGCCGATTATGAAGGCAGTCGGAGGGGGGGGGGACGGCAACGGGTGGTGCGGGGGAGGGGCCGTCCTAATATATCAACAGATGCGCGCACGAAAAGACAAAAGGTTTTGGGAGGTGATGAATATGCAAATGAGCACGCGCGCGTGGCGACGGCGTCTTCCATTGGAGTGTGACGTCAAGTTCGCACGGTGACCCCGTTTGCGGATCGTTGGAGTTGGCACGAAAACTTTCACTTGATATTTTCTTGTCTCGGGAAGGAGAGCGTATTTTGCGCAAAGCTTAACTCGAGACTTGGGTTGATTTTTTTTTTCCTTGTCATTGTGGCCGTCCTACATCACAACGTTTTGGTTGATCTGTTTGCGTATCATTATGATATTTCTTTGGGAATATTTGTGCGAATTCAAATTTGTGGCTGCAAGCGTCGAATTGTTTTTCCAGCGCAACGCACCCGAGAAGCTGAGATGAATGTGCACGTCTGCCTTCTCGAGAAGATGCCGAATGTTGTTGTTTTCCAGCAAACAGCCCGATAATAAAAACGGCGTTGATTTAAAACAGCTCGATGTCAACCGAAACAAAGAAATGAATAACCAAAGGCGTTCCTTTAAATCCAGCTTGAATATGAGGCACCGCTTTTTAAAAAAAAAATAAGACAAATGAGAAGAAAGTGGCTGACAAAAGGAAATTGAAATGTTTTTCGGCGGGGGGAGGAGACGTTTTTTTTTTCGGCGACATTTCAAACGTCAACCTGACGAGAGCTCGTTCCGCCTCACTGGCTCCTTGCATCAAATGAGCTCAATGATGATGACCGCCGACAGAAGCATGAAAAGGGGAAAGTTGAAGCGCCTCTTTGCCGAATCATTTCCTCAACAAATTCAAAAACAGCCTTCAGAATGAAAAGAGCTGTTGCATGCCGGCTGCATTGGTGGAAAGTTCAACGTGGAGTCGCTCCCGATTGGCTGCCGCGGCGTGCGTGTGCCCGTGTGTGTTTAGCGCAAGTGGGGGGGATAAAGACGCGCATCCCGGCCGAGCGCAAAAGGAAAAGTGAACTCTCGCCCGCATCATGCCCGGCAAGGACGGCGCCGCGCTTTCGGACGCGGTAATGAAGCAGCAGAGCCCCGCGGGGCACCGCCGCCGCGGTTTCGGCATCCAGGAGCTCCTCGGCCTCAACAAGGAGCCTCCGGCGTCGTCGCCGCCGCCGCATCGGCCGCAGCCGCCGCCGCTGCTGCTATCGTCCGCCGCCGCCGCCCTGGAGGCGCTGCCCCACCGGGGCCACGTCCTGGCCGCCCGCTCGGCCCTCGGAGGCGGCGGCCTGGGCGGGCTCGTGGGCGGCCTGGGCGCCGGCCTGCTGGGCCCCGAGGGCGCGCACTCCTTCTACCGCCAGCCCGCCTTCCTGGAGGTTCTGTCCGAGGCGCACAATGTGCACCTGCAGCCGCTGCGCGGGGCCAACGCGCGCATGCACGACGTGCACAACTCGGCCAGCTCGGGTGAGTTGGGTGCTGCTGCAAGGACAAAAAAATTTAAAAAAACCCCAAAGATTTCGACATCGCTTTGAATGTTTCATTTAGACGTTTTTAGTTGTTCAAACCTTCCAGGGTCGATGCAATGACAACTACGTTAGTAGCAACACGTTGTCTTCTTTTTAAAAAAAATGGGAGGGGGGGGGGGACTTCAACCGAGGGCCAGGAAGACATCCTCGAGGTGATGTTGACCAGTCTTGGAAGCTGATTGAGCTTCTTTTTCCCTTCTGCAATTTGTATTGGATTTGAAATGAGTCCCCGGAAACATTTTTGGGCTCAACATTATTTCAAAGGCAAGGCTGAAATATTGCCTCGATTTGGTGGTCACTTTACATTACAACATTCCGTTTCTTTCTATTCTTGCTGGCAGATTCCGATGACGCGAGTCTTCCCTCCCGTGATAAGTTCTCCAAATCTTCCTTGAGCCAAAGCAAGAAAAGAAAGAAAAGACGACACAGGTAAAAAACAAAACAAATCTCTCTCGACGTCTGGTTTCGAAGTGTAGAGGCATAGCTAGGTTTGGGCCTCCTGCTGAAAACTCATTTTCGAAGTCAACGGAAGCTGTTGCCGGCGCTGGTATTATTTTCAATGGGTTGCGATGATCCCTAAAATCTGTCACATTTGTTTGACTTTATTATGTCATGGATGTGTATTTGTGTTTTTTTTCTTTTAAGGTGTTTCAAATGACGGTTGGGAATAGTTTCCGAAACATCACTTCCGGTTCGGGGGTCACATGTCCCGCACGGGGCGGAGGAATCGGCGGGAAAGCGATTGCGTCCAGTTGACGTTTTTTTTTTTTCTTTTTCCGATTTAGCTCGGAGAGCACGCCATTTGTTTATTCATTTCGTGTTTGTGTCGATCAGATTTTAGTCATTGGTGCTTGTTCATGTTTGGGGTGTCTTTTTTTTTTCTTTTTTTTAAGCTTTTTAAGGACATCAGTACGAGGTGTTGTCCGAGTCGACCCGAGTAGATAACCGAGGCTGCTTGTTCAAATGTGCCGAGCTCACTTTCCTGAAGGTCTAATGTCGAGCTGCCGGGTTTCTGGTTCAAGCCGCCTGCTAGTATGATTTTTTTTGTTTGTTTGTTTGTTTGTTGCAATGTTTCATTTTGGTCTTCTGATTTGGCGCACAGAACCATTTTCACGTCTTATCAGCTGGAGGAGCTCAATGTCGAGCTGCCGGGTTTCTGCTTCAAGCCGCCTGCTAGTATGATTTTTTTGTTTGTTTGTTTGTTTGTTTGTTGCAATGTTTCGTTTTGGTCTTCTGATTTCGCGCAGAACCATTTTCACGTCTTATCAGCTGGAGGAGCTGGAGAAAGCCTTCAATGAGGCCCACTATCCGGACGTGTACGCCAGAGAATTGCTGTCCGTGAAGACGGAGCTGCCAGAGGACAGGATACAGGTGGGGGGGGGGGGGGGGAAAGAATGTCCACCATCCCTCAACCCGTTCGTGTGCATTCTTTTGCGTTTTGTGACGCTTCTCCTCTTTGGCTGAACTGAGGCCTCCGATAAACGGCAGGTGGTAAATGCCATAGATGGACTAACGAAGAACGGCTGGATTTCATATTTCAAGGCACAGCTGCAAAAACATTGCTCACGAGTTAATTTTTGTGGCCTCTCTCTTTCTGACAAAAACGAAGCAGAAAAGAAGGAATTAGCAGCTGATCACCGCCTTCGTTCCTTTTGCCACTTTAGCAGTTTTTTTTTAAAAATTTTTTATTTGGATGTTTTGTCACCATCCAGCAGGGCTGGAAATTAACTAAATTTTCAATCAGCATCTGTGCCCTTGGGGTCACCTCTCTGGCTTTCTCTTCCACCACACACACACACACACACACACACACACACACACACACACACACACACACACACACACGCGCACTGCTGTCAACAGCACGATTGCTCACGTGAGGTCCATCTTTTTACGAGATGGGGTTATCATCAGATCGAGCTCAAAGGCTTTCCCGCTTCTCCGCTTTGATCGTTTTTTAATCCCGTCTGCAGCCGCGCACATGCACCGCATCCCGCCAATCTCATTCCACCTGGTGGGCCATTGCATCATGCCCGTTGAGGTTCATCCATATTCACAAGCTCGGCCAGGCTATGATGAGGCCCGGACGGTTGAAAAAAAATCCATTGCCCCCACCCCACCACAC